TCATAACAGCTATGGCGAGTTGAGGCATGGTTGACTGTCGGGCAGTTGCACATTATGGTTCTCTCAGGCAGTGCATCCACCTGTTGGGTCTCTGCAGCTTCATCCTCTGTGTCCTCTGGCCTCCTGCTTGCTCCCATTGTGCACATCCAAAGGTTATTATGCCCTCAGATGTGTGAGGGTGTGCCCTGTTTGGCTAGCTTGTCTAATAAACCTTGCCATTCCATCTAACAGTACCTGTTCATAGTGGATGTTGCACACTAACAGATGTGCAGCAACCCTTAACAGTTTTAAAAGTCTGTGTCTCTAAGTTTTCCATCTGTTATGGGGATATTGCTAGAGAGCTGTGACATGAGAGAGGGGGCAATAAAGAGCTCACAGCAGCCTCTGTGCACAGGTACTGTTAGATGGTATAACAAGAGAAATACCATAGTTTAATTTGAAGGTCACAACACTCTTACTGCCCATTGCAATGTTTATCACCTGGGTGCAATTTGTAATGTTATTCGACACACCTTTTTGCCAGTTTTGCATGTCCAACCTGGTGTGAACCTCTCTACTTTTGCTTCAGTTTGGGCCTTGTCCTATATTTTGGCTATTTATTGCACGCCTGACATTGTCACCTGGCTTGACCCCCATCTATGTGACTGCTTGACTATCCTGTATCTCACTCTCTGGTGCTGCATTTTTTTCAACCCAGCCTAGGGTCCCTCTCTCGCCTGACCTCTTTAGGGTTAGGTTCCCCCTTCCCAGATTCTATATTCTGCCACAATTTCCAGGGGGGGCCTGAGTACTGGTCCATACACATAAAGTATACCAGAAAAATGGCTAATAAAGGGTGAATAGTGGTGCAACAGTGATGTCAAACCTGAGCTTGTGTCTTTATTTAGAATTGTCAAAGTAAAACAATTGCAAACTCAGTTGCTTGAGCAGCATTATTATAAGGATTATTCACAAACGAGCTGAAGCATATAGCCATAGCTTCGGCTCACTTAGGCCGCTGGAGCACTTCCGTTCAGCCCATACAGCAGCTAACAGCTTAGCTGAGCTGAAGGCATATGCTTCAGCTCAGCTAAGCCGAAGTCACAGCCAAAGCCGGGAGAATGTTCTCCGCGCAAATGTAAACAAAAAAACAAAAAAACTTTAGGTCTGGCAGTAAAAGGAACCCCCAGTGAAAAAGTAAAAAAAAGTGCATTGGGTCCCTCCAAAAGTTTTAAGGGGGATTTCCTCAACTAGACCCTTAGTCTGAGCACAGGCCTGGCAGGGCAGGAAAGGGGGGAACGACGTAAGCCGAAGGAGTAGCCTGAAGCAACGGCTATATCCTTTGTAATGCTGTTTAAGCAACTGAGTTTGCAATTGTTTGACTTTGACAATTGTAAATAAAGACTCAGCTCGGCTAAGCCAAAGTCACAGCCAAAGCGGGGAGAACGTTCTCCTTGCAAATGTAAACAAAAAAAACAAAACATTTAGGTCTGGTAGGAAAGTTAAGAGGAACCCCCAGTGAAAAAGTAAAAAAAAAGTGCGTGGGGTCTCCCCTAAAATTCACAACAAGACCATTAGTCTGAGCACAGGCCTAGCAGGGTGGGATAGGGGGGAACGAGTGAGCGCCCCCCCCTCCCTGCACCATAACAGGCCATTGGAAGGGTACTCTTCCAGCGGTTCCCCTTGAAAAGCACCTTGTCCCCATGATAATGATGTCAAGTGCTTCTTCCACCATAACCGTGACTCGGTGGTTGTGGGGGTCTGCAGGAAGGGGGCTTATTTGCATCGGGGTACCCCTTTATTAAGGGGCACACAGATTTTGCCCCCCATCCTTGTGAATGAGTAAGAGGTACTTGTACCCCTACTCATTCACTGAAGGGTTAAAGTAAAAAGTAAATAGAGAGCCCACTCTTTAAGAAAAAGTCCTTTATTTAAAAAAACCAAAACAAAGTTTTTGACAATTCTGTTAATAAAAAAATGAAAATCCCAAAAATAAAAAAAATGATCCACCGATATAATCCAAAGGTCAAACACGACGTCCAGCATTGTCCACAATGTCGCTGACTCGTCTTTTTTTTTTTTTTAAACCGACGCCCGCACCCGACGAACTGCCCCTGCTGAAAGAAAACTTGACAGATGGCTGCAAAATGTAAACAAATAGATGGAGCAGCTGTCAAATCGCTATTGCAAGTGTCGGCAAAATGAAAACAAATCGGCGGAGTCGGCCGTGATGTCACCACTGGCTCCGTCCATTTGTTGTCATACAATGACAGGCTACTCTCCTCAGGTCTTTTGAGGACTGTAGACTGTAATTATATGACAACATACGGCTGAGTGGAACGTGTTCTTCACTTCGGCTCAGCTGAGCATGTTCGGCTGAACCGGAGGGAGCAGAAGCCTGCCGATGTATGGCTGAAATCAGCCGTACTCTGCTGAAGTGAATAGCCAAATGGCGTTCGGCTCCCTTTACTTCGGCTCAGTTATTTACTCGGCAGCCTGGTGCAGACATTTATTACAAGGAGCCTTCTCTTGTGTGTTCTCATTTAGAATTGTCATTAAAATAATTGGTGCCAAGGATTCAGCTCCTGGTCCAATCATTGCTATTCTAAATGCTAGTTTTCAGATGAGTAAGCATGCTTGAACTTCTCTTCAACCACTTGCTTCCACATGTTTTTACCCCCCAACAACACTCTAAATTTTGGTGTGATTGGCCAGTCTAAACTGTTTGCATATTAGCTATCCAATTACTAATTTTACCATGACATTTTTATGCTCATACCAGTATTTGGTTACGTGTGGTACCTTCTGTGCTAGGTGAGGCATTCCCCAGCCCCACCCCCAGCAACCCAAGGCCCTCCTCCAGCCAGCTGAAGCCCCACCCCCAGCTAGTTGAAGCCCCGCCCTATCCCGCGGAAGCCCCAACTCGGTCACCAAGCTATTTGTGGAGGAAGGAGGGAGGAGGAAGGAAGAAGACAGGGAGGAGCCTCCCTGTCCCTCACTTGCTCATCACAGGTGAAGCATCGAGATCGATGTCCTCAGTGGTTCTTTTTTTCTTTTTTTTGATTGGACAGCTTGGACCAATGGCGCTTTGGTATTGGTCTAAACCATCCACAAAGCTAAGAGTTGAGGCTGTTGCAGCTCATGCCTCACTCTGTTAGGTTACACAGCAGTGGGAAAGCCCGCTGCTGTGTAACCTAACTTAGCTGTCAAAAGCTGGATGTGGCGCCACCTGTAATTAACAGGCAGCACTCCGTCCATGACACGGGGAAGGCTTTCGCCTCGCACGTAACAATGCCAACATTACAAAAATAAAATAAATACGATCTCTCTCCACACAGAATTGTCAGCTGCCACTAGCAGTGGTTTAAACACACACTGAGAATATGGCTGCTGTGAGCCCATCCTTTTATAGAAATGGGACTGGGTAATCCATTCCTCCAAATGAATGACTCTTGTGACTCAGGGATATGCACTGCATTACAGGTTGCTCCTTTTTTCTGACAGTGAACCTGCAAACTTTTCAGCCAAAAAGTTGGCAATCCAGAGGATTCGGCACAATCCCATAAATTGCCTAGTCTGTACAGGCCAAGCTGTTCATTTAGCCACATCGCAATGCTGACTCAAACATCTTCATACAATAGTGAGTTGCAACCTCTGTAGGTATATCTTATGGCTGTGCATACAGGCACTGCACAGTAATTATGGAGTAAATTACCCCTTGTTTTAGGTCCAGTAAAGTTGCGGGAAAGTCCCTTTATAACATAAACTATGGTTCAGCCAAAAGGTACATTGTGTGAAAGACATCCAGCTTTAGATGAACTGAAACTATGTAATAGTAGGCCCAACCTAAACTATCCAACCAATCTGTATCCATTCAGGTGTGCCCTTGCGCTACATAGATGTTTTTAGATCCACAGACAATTGTACAGTCTGATCATAACGTGTGTGGGGAGCTTTAGTCTTACCAACAACTATGTCATTGTGATTGTAATGTCTTTCTTATATTGTAAAGCGCTGCGCAAACTGTTGGCACTATATAAATCCTGTATAATAATAATAATGTCTTTCAGGGATAACCTGATTAACTATGAGATGATCAGGTTGTTTAGGCTGTCCCTTGTACAACATAGTTGTTGGTAAATCTGAAGGACTGAGATTTTACAATGTAATAGTAATGTGTGCCGGCTGGAGCTGGATTAATAAAATACTCTTCATTATATTGCCACTTAAAGTGGAACTGAACTAAATGAAGATTTGCTATGTTATAGGGAACATTTAGAAATGTTAATTGTGCCAGAGCAGCACCCTGAAAATTAACATTTTGTCTTTCTCCTAAAAAAAAGATGGGCTACCGGGTATGTGAGGATGCCTGAACACCCCTGTACCTGCAGCCTCAGCTGTATATCTACAGTGTGAGTGAGATCTAAGACACTGCTACCTCAGACTGCTAATGTCAGGAGATTTGGAGATAGTAAGTTAGTGAATTTGGCATAGTAAAGCTAGCCATACATGGGGCTGAACGAGAGAAATCACTTGATTCCCCCATCCGTGCTAAACAACTGGGATAAAAGTATCTCCACCTCCTAGCTATTGTAGCCAAACAGCCAGCACCCACTGCTGTTTGAATACCTGAACAGTGAATGCATCTGACTGGATACAGTCAATGTTTGCCCGACAATTTTCCACCTAGACCCTTTGATTTTGCAGTCAAATTTTGTTGAGCTCGATAGTGCCAACATGGACACCCACAGTTCAAAATTAAAGCTGCTTGTGACCATCTTTGGTCACTAATCAGAAAAGATGAGCTGCAGAGAGAACACAGCAATACTGGTGACTACTCCTGTGTCCTGGTGACTACTCCTGTGCCCTCTGCTTGTCATATTCTGGGGGACATATCTTCCAGTGTGTGGTCCCTCTCTTTTAAGTATCTGGTATTGAAGGATGGCTTTTATCTGCACCGATAAACCTCTTTTATTAAATGTATTAAAATTTATTTTTATCATGATCTTATTTTATTGCAGATTCAGCAAAACCGAAACCAAGTGTGGTTCCAGATCTTTATCTTCTTCCGCAACTTGGTGTTACCTCGTGACAGGAATAGGGGTGTCAATGTGAGGTGAGACTCATCAGCATATTGTGATCAGATCCGATGTTGAACCACTGGAGGACTCTGCTCCATATCTTACAGAAGTGAATATGAGGACGTTCTCAATCAGGACTTTCTGTAAGGAAATGGGAAGTGTGGTCAAGCACTGCTGAGAAACCAGCTTGTTTACATCATGTTTATGTCTGAAGATGTAGCCTGTGTAATACTGTAATAAGATGAGTTAGTGAACAACGATGACAACTGTATGCTTCTCTAGATGTGCCTTATAAGTTTTACGCAACCAAAAACAAAACAATAAATCAAGGGAATTTCCACTTTTGCAGTGGTACAAGCACTTACCAACAATGTAAAATACCTGAAAGCTCTTTGCAATACTACCATAGTTATTATAGAAAGCATTCCCACATTGATCATTGTAGTAAAATGATAAAGTGTGTATGAGTATTTTTTATAAAGGGAAATGATAAGCAAAAAATACTCAATTATGTATTTTCTTAAATATAATGAATTGTATTCTTAAATAATTGTCCAGTTGTACTTCTCATAATCCCATCTACACATATGATTAAGACTGACTGTGGGAAGCTATGCACTGAGAGCCAGTCGAATTTCATTTAGTCACAATGCATATCTTAAGGGTACCCAAGCATGTTATATTTTCTTGTAAAATTTCCCATTCTCATTTTTTTTCTTGTAGTCCAGTAGTTCTATGATTGTAACATCTATGTGTTTTAGATCAGGTGCAAGTGTTATTTCTGCAGAAATGTGATTTTCTTTATCTATTGAAGTTGTAAACTTTTTGCGTGCTTGTATAATCAATCCTGTTTGGTGATCGCCTTTATATGCAGAAATGATTGTCAGAAGTTCCGTCATGAATTGCAGCTGATTTTTGTCTGATGGCTTCCTTAAAAAAAACCAAATGGCGATTAGGTTGGATCTGAAATAAGACGGGAATGATGCGTCAATGACCAGGGTATGATACAGGAGGTTGCAGGGCTGGTAGAGCAGGTAGCAGTGGCGCCCAGTTGGCTGTGCAGTGTAACTGGAACCTGTGTATACATTGTAAAGTGTACAAGAAAAGTTAACAGGATCTTAAAGTATACGAGTAAACAGTCATACCATGTTCTGGCATACTTTTTTTATTAGCTGTATCAGTGGGAGGTTTAGATAAAAGATACAGGTGTACCTTCTAACCTCTCTTATTAATAAAATAAGAGCATTTCAAAGAAGAACTCCAGCAAACAATTCTGCAGAAGTAGGAGGGGGGTTAAAATGTATATAACAATAAACTCATGTTTGCTCCCTTTTGGTCTGCTAATATAACATGGAAAGTGCAAATTATATGTATTCAAGATAAGACAGCAGCAGTAGAAGGCTCACCAAGGAACAATTTCTGTATGAGTACAATTTTCAAACAACAGTATACAATTATTCCAAAGGTGTGAACAAGACAAAATCGCACTCAGGGGCGTCCCAAGGCCGGGTGTCACCCAGGAGCGGGGACCAGGTGACACACTGCCATGGCGTAATCCCGCATGCGTGTGCGAGGACGTCATCACGCAGCTATCTTAATGACGCCTGACAGCTGCCATCTTTGTGATGGACGCTGGCAGAGAGAGAAGGGGGCGTTCATCCGGCGGGATGAGGTATGTCGTCGGGTCGCCTCATCTCTCCTGACACTGTCGGGCTCTCGGCCCATGATTGAGTGCCTGACTTTTTTTTTAGAGGGGGTGACACCAAAATGACTGCCAGTCATTTTGGTGTCACCCTTCCAATGGTGTCACCCGGGTGCGGGACGCGCCCCCCCTTGTGATGCCACTGATCGCACTGTCAACCACAGGAGAGTGATGCATAAAATGGCATTCACATAGTGAGCCATAGAACGGTGACACTGGTGAGTCTTTTCGTGAGACAGAGTGAGCAACAAAAAGAAGAGAAGGAAGAAGAGTAAGAAAGGGAATGAGAAGAGAAGAGGAAAAGAGGCGGAGGGGGGAAAGGTTGGGGGGGGATACAACTAGGGAAGAGACACCGACAAAGGCCTGGGTTAGGTGCTCACATAGAGAGGAGTCTGCAATCAAAGGTGAGAGGAAATGATACACCTAAGGATTCTATATAATGTCGAATTTAAGATGGCCATACACTGTGCAAATTTCAGACAGTTCTTGACGAGACGAAATTCGCACAGTGGATGCCGCTGTCAGCACCTTTTCGGCCAGCATCTCTTAGCTGATCGAAGGAGCTGGTCTGTTGAAAATCTTCGTACGAACAGAGCCGGCAGCCAATAAGCTGCTGGCTGTGTTCGGGTATTCTGACAGTGGCCATTATCAGAATACAAAAGAAACTACGGGAGATTCCTCAATCAATGCACTCATAGTGTTGATGGAGGAATCTGCTAATTTTTTTTTTGCTCAGCCTGCAGGTTGCATGAAAAACCCAAGTTTTGTAGTGTATAGCCAGAGTAGTGTATGGTCAGAATTATTTATAGTATAATTTCAGTGAGCTGTCCATGTCTCATTTAAGCTGAACCAAAATGAAATCACCACCCTCCTTCTGGCCATTCACAAAACGAAGCCTGGGGCTGTGTGTTTTGTGAATGGCTTGGAGGAGAGGGGGGTGGAGACATGATTGTTCCACTAGGGACTATGAAACCTGTAGCACTTACAAGTGAGTGGCCCAGAAGTACCGCAGAGCTGTACTAAAGTAAATGAGATAATTCACCAGGTGTAGAAGAAAGGCTAAATTACATGAGATTGCTTTTGTGGCAATTAAATGTTTGATTGCGTTAACCGGGATAAGGTTATTGTGCCCAAAGCTGGTCTTTAAACATTGAGCCTTTTTGATAGTCAAGCGCAACCTTTAGTTTTCCTACAACACTTTCCAAGTAACATTAACATTTTTGCAGTAGTCCCTGCCCCGAAAAGGTTTTTAAAGACTGATATGCCTACCACAGCCATGAGCATACACAGTAAGGCCAATTAGTGTGGCAGTGAATTCATCTTCCAGCATATTTGTGCATCATCGGAAAACCAGTACATGGGGCAGTACATGGGGCAGACATACAAATTCCATACAGATATGTCCTTGGTGGAAATCATATCTGGGACCCTACAAGAGTACAATATATTTAGCCACTATCTTAGTTAAGATAACTGTGAAACTATAACACATGGGACATTTTGAAGCCCCGGTAGATTGTTTTCGATCTAACAGAATGAATCTATTGCTGATGCATATCGAATTGAAAATGATCTGTTATCACACAAAAGTATATGTATGTATTGCAGCGTTGGTCTTCAGTCATGACCACAAATAGATTTTTCACAATCAACTGTGGCCTATGTGGTTGAGACATTAGGCAGGGGTGATGTCATAATCCTTCTGTTGGGATCTCAGGGGATTACAAATCTCACTTGAAGACGCTCCTGCATTGATCCTCAGGAACGTGATATCACACTCGCCTAGACGATGCAGGTGAAAGCCAGAAGTATGGATAGTATATTTACTAACTTTTTTCTCTGAAGGATTTTTTGGAACTTTAATGCCACCATTTTCATGGGGGAAGAGCAATTGATGTATTAAGTTCACCTTGCTGGTTAGTGCAAGGTCTGCTTTAAGCCCTATGCATACCGAATATGGATAAATCTGATAGAATTAATTTAAACACCCAGCCTGCTACATCTGCTTGAGTCATTTACAATGTTTCCCTTTTATATCACCATCTGTTACATGATCATTTCATATGTTAACATGACCACCTGTTACTTGCTGTCACTGAATTTCAGCTGTTCTTTACATCAGGAACTACAGGTAACAAAACACTAATGGATGAGAAGATTGGTTCTGTCTGTCATATGTTAGTATAAAAATAAGGTCGACCTCTGCCAAGACATGCAGTGATATGTGCACCCAACATATTTCTATTCCAAGTATATAATATCAGTCAGAAAGGAAAATGAATCAGCGCACCCCAGGCTCCAGAAACTTTAATTGTTTATTAAATGGCAACAGGGGTCATCTCCTACATATTCCCACTGAAAAGGTGACCCCTGCTTCTATTTAATAAGCAAGAAGATTTGCCGCAGCCCAGAGTGTGGTGATTAATTTTTGTTTGTGACTGATTTGCTGGAGTGAAATGAGCCTTGAGCAATATACATATATAAATATCTGAATATTTCTTCACTGTTCTATATGTTTGTGTATTCCAATATGTCAATGGCTTGCTGTGCCCTTCCTGAAAATGAGCAATGTAAAAATAATACACAACTTTATTTTTTTATGAGATGAAGGCTGAGACCACTTAAAACTGCTATTCTGGTATTATCATCTATCAGTGGTATATCAGCGGGTTGAGGTGCCATGTGGCAGAATATATTTCTTACAGGACACAGGCAGATTGAGAGACGAATGGGTAATATGCAGGTATCATCGGGTGATTGTAGGAGATGATCAGGGCTGTAAGGACCCTTAATTAACCCCGCCCAATCCTCCGTTTTTTTATGCTGGTATCCTTAGGTGATGAATGTCTCCTTTCTACCGAGGGAGATGTAATGTAGTTACTTATCTTTTTTTGCAATTCTTAGATCAAGATTTTTCTGGCTGTATCTGGCCTAGGAGGCATCTATGCAGTTTTTGGATTGGCAACCCACAGCAATAGCGTTGTGGACCATACCTGGAAACCTTGATCTTTCACATGAAAGATGCATGGCTGGTCTGTAATGTCACGTTCAGCACCCACCTTGGCATGTGGTGCAATGTGTTAGGTTAGGCACATTGCAGGTTCAGGGCAGTAGTGTTATCTTACAGGTATCTGTACAGGTGTGACCTAGTCCCTAAAGACTCCTTTGGGGTAGTGACATGCAGTATCTTCAATGCTGGGTGAGGTATTCCCCAGCCCCGCCCCCAGTACACCAAAGACCCTTCCCCAACCCGGTCACCAAGCTAGTGTGAAGGAGGAACGGAGGAGCATTTTATTGTCAACGTTTCAGTGAAGCTGTCCATTTTTTTGAAGACACAGTTAAGTGGATTTATCAAGACTGGAGCAGA